CCTTGGAGTACTTACCCCACATGATAATTCAAGCTGGAAAGTTATTTTAGGGTTAAAAAGATGATGCATGAATGTTCTGCCATTAACAGATGCACAGAAATCGCATATACTGAAACTGAGAAAACTTTGTCTTTCACAGATCACTATGTTACTCAGTTTAATATAAACAATCCCTAAATCAAAACAGAACACAGTTACACAAACAGTCAGACCCAAGTACTATTATGGTCAAGACTTCTGATGTACTAAGTAATATTGATTGTCTCAAGACCAAGAAAAAGCCCAGATCATAACAAATATACCAGACTTATGGTTAAAGATGGGACTATTTATGATTTGTAGATTTATCAAAATTATCAACTACATCATAAAGCTCAGATACTTCCCATCAACTGGGCAAGTTGTGTCATATCAACCAATCAGCCTTCTGCTTACTCTATGCAAGACTGCTGAGTTATCTTGAAAGACCTATCACTGTCTTTAAAAATCTTCTATATTATGTAGAAAGCAATCACAGCTTTATTCCTCAACAGTATTGATTTATGATAAAACTACAGAGTGGATGAACAAATCTTGACTGGATTTCACCAGAAAATTTACAATACAGCAATTTCATAGATAGGCATTCCACTGTGCTTGGCTGAATGGACTTGCTTACAAAGTTACAACGCTGGATTTCCCAGAACCCATCATCTCCCCACTCTATTCCTATCTTATAGCTCAAATATTTATCATTGTCTCAAAGTACATTCTGCTATCTGGATATTAATGCCGTAAACCATAAATGTCTTTTTTGAGTCAATTCCTTTTTAGCATTACATGATCAATACACACACACGTCACAAATCTGCTAAGATGCAGGTTGTTGGATTTCATGAATTAGTTTTTATTTACAGTGCTCAAATTAACTTTACTTTATTCCTTTTTTTTTTTATTTAATGTTTTGGCTACTATAACTTTTTTATTAGTTTTTTAGAATTGGCAAAAAAACTTTCATAAATTAGGAAAAGATGTTTCTGTAGTTAAGTAGGCTTATTAAAGAAGAATGACATTATTTACACAGGTGACGGAGGACGGGGCCCTGGCGTATAGCATCGGTAAACAGGCATATGTCCCACGTCCTCCACTATCTCGAAGAAACAACTTGCTGGAGCCCCGTGAGGCTGCACCGGGAGTTTACATGGCCATACAGGGGCTAGATGTCAAATAGATGTTACATAGGACGTTGTTTATAAAACAAAGTAACCTAAAAAGAATATAAAGGATAGCATTAAAACACTAAAACACACATATAATGTTATTTACACAAGTGATGTTTTTATATTTATGTTCAAAACATCTTTTCAGAAAATAATGAATATTTTAGAATATTTGGTACTTTTCCGTTTTGCTGGAGCAGGCGATAAAGTCACCAATAATGGCATGACTGATACGAAACAAAACATCCTCGCTGGTAAACTTTAACGTCTCATTTTCAAAACAAATCACACCCATTTCTTATCAGATTGTTTGTTTCTATCAATGCTGGCATACAATTACATAGAATTTTTACTAGATAGTTCAATTTCATGCCGTAAGTTCATTCGCAGTAATTAAGTCAATTAGGAAGCAATCACACTGCTCATCCGAGGGCGAAAATATAGAAAAGGCAAAGTCAAGGGTTAAATTCATCAATTCTAATGAGGATGCACTAGCAAAGTAAAGCACTGTGGTTTTACAATTTTGAGTAAGCTTTCGACGAATTGAAATGACTCTTGCATTTAAACTTCTATCCATGTTAAGATTTAACTTGAAATTTTGAAATAATTACTGAGATAATTAGATTTTGTAGCTTAGTTTAGGAGATGAAATCAGTGGGGCCATGCGATGTGAACAGTGAATCAGGATGTTGTACAATGAAAGCATAGTAAATTCTTACTTAATGTTTTTTTACAAATTTTGTGTACTTATTTATTGGCTTTTTTAGAAAATTTTAAACGACATTAAAATGTTTATACCTTCAAAATAAAAAATTCTTAGAACTAACATTTGTTAACATTTTTTATGCATATACTATTTGTTTTCGCCAATAAAGTCTGCTTGGCGAGATTTGCGCTGGTGAAACGAAAATGTACCAAAAAATGTTTTTCCTAATTTGTTGTCATTACTTCACTAGGCAGATTCACAAAACGGACGGAGCACGAAACGAACTGCTAATTCAAGCGCCGCCACACGAAAAGAACAAGGAATATCCGTGCCACCGTTAACATGTTAAAAAAATTAATGAAGAATCTAAATTAATGTATGCATGTTGCTCGCATTGTGAAAAAACAATGGTACCTAGAGCCACCATATTCTGAATAACATAGTCCTCTACCTGAATATGGGCACCTGGCAGCCCGAATCTAGAATTTCAAATCTGTTTTATCTATTTCATATTTTCTAAACTCTAATGAATTTTTGAGTAAGAAACTCAATGATTTCAAAGTCTGCAGTGGCAACACATTGTGCAGAATAAAATATTTTTATTTCCAGTGCGTGAGACTGTTTACCAGATGTTTTTATGAGGATTCTGTTTTTAAACATGTTTAGCCCAAATTCTCTCAAAACATGTACATATGTGTAAATGAAAAAAATGCTCCTTTGGGCGTAATATAAATAAAGCTTTTAGATTTTTTTTAGTTTATGTAACAGTCTACCATGCAAAAAATTCCCAAAATAAACAGCATAGAAGTTAAATATTAAGTGGCAATATATTCCACCACATGGCTTCCAACACTGCAAAATTTAGTTCATCTGTCTTTTAAAATCTACATTGTGTTTCCAAATTAATAGGTCTAGTAATTTCTGAAAATTAATAGGTCTAGTAAGGCTTTAAAGGGAAAAAAAAAGCATTAAAATTTTCAGTACATAAAACATAACTACTTACTTCATCTCTCTTAACCCATTAACCGCCAAAACTACAAGGAATGTTTCTTTCTCATGAAAATAATAACAAATATCAAATTAAGCATTTATAACAAATTTACATTGAAAATAAAAAAAAATGCTCTTACCTGTAAAAAAAAAAAACGAGTGTTGTGTTCGTGCAACGTCAGCGGAATAAGATTACAGATTTTTAGTGAGTACGATTGTACTCGCGCAATGTTTCCTTTGAGGGGAGCACTGGATTACTTTTTAGCTGTATAACATTTTATAAATCTATAAATCTCTTTACTTGTAATTAATTTAGTATTAAAGTATACATTATATTTCTTTTAAATATACAGATTATTTAATTTGAAAGATTCAAGCATGAAAAGCTTCACTACAATCATAATGTAAAGCTACATTACATACTTTGCATCGTAAACAGTCTGGCTATAGCACTCTTTACAACGAAGTCTTTTGTTATCATCAGACTTTACCATAAAATGTCTACCATCTCCATGCAGTGGTTTTTGAATGTTGAATTTACTAGGTCTTTCCTGTTGCTGATCTATTTCTGGCTAATTCACCTCTCAATAGGAGGTTACAAAAGGAATAATGCAATCTCGCATTTGAAATCTAAAAGAGACTTTTTATTTCCAGTAATAGAAAGTTATGAGATTTAGTAAGTTTAGATATGGTCTCACCTTATATAATTTATCAGTACTTTCAGTTTGACAATTGTCAGCTAAATGCAAATTCTGCTTCATATTCCTGTATTGCATACATGATATCAATTCTCGTACAATAGGAACAGAAATATCTTTATCAAGAGAACAATGCATTTCTGAGGTAAGATGATATTCTGTAAGCAAAATATTCCAATAAATCTTCTCATATAAGCTTCAGATGCAATAATAAATTCTGGGTTTTTTTTTTTTTTTTTTTTTTTTTTTTTTTTTTTTTGCTGAGCGTATATATTTGTTGTTCAACGAGAAGAGAGAGTAAAGGTCAAACCAAAAGGAAAATCGAAAATCTGTGCCTAGTTTTACCTTGTATTTTGTCTTTTATAATTCTTCTATCGCTTTCATGTTCTTTTCTGAGACATAACTAAACAGTTCCTTTTTTATCCACTTCAAGATTCTCTTCTGCTTTTAAACTTTTAGTATGACTATAACTGCTTTTAGAAGGCTGAAAACTTACTTCTTACGTGAATTTCAACTCCCCCAGCAGTCACTTGGTAAAATATCATATCATTATTAAAAAATTGCTATTCCTTTCTTCTTCGTCACTAGTTTCTGCAATTTCTGGGGAAACAACAACAATATCAGTTTCATTCTGGTCAATTAACATTATCATCATCTGTTTCTTCATCAAAAAAAGCTTTGAAGGGCTTCTTCTAATGTATGATACCTCATTCTAGGCATTTTTAAACAACCAGAACATGAACCAAAACATCGAAAGGAATAGATGAAAAAAGAGATTAACTACCCGTTTCCTGCTGACGTTACGTCAGCGCAACACCTGTTTTTCCTCCCTTCCGAACACAAATATAAACATCTGACTGATGTTATGCTCTGATAAACGGTGACCTTGAGTAAAAATAGATCACTCATAAAGACTACGATTCTGATTCTTTCGTTAAATATTTTCAACAAAAATACCCGGTCAAAAATTTTGTTTAAAGTATGAGGTCAATTATTATAAACAAAATGATTGTTGAAGGCAAATATTTTTTACAGAAATAAACTTATATATTTCTACACAAAAATCATCTGTATAAATACTTAGGTAGTTATATTTATATCATTATTTGACCATTGCGTCTACGCAAACCAGCGGTATAATGGGTTAACACATTTTAAAAACTAGCATAGGGCTAAATTATGAATGATCTGTTTCACGAAGGCATGTGTAATCCAAAAATGGTTAGATAAAATTCATTTTTATATTCGAATAGTTTTATGTATTCATTATATATATAACAAACATTTAGTTTCATTAAAGAAAGAAATTGCTCAGATTATTATAGATAAGGAATTGCTCAGATGTTTAGACTATTCTATAAACCTTGAAACTTTACAAAATATAGAAATGAATTTTAAAAAATATAAAAATATAACACTAATAATTTATTCAATATTTATAAAAAATGCATCACAACAAATAAACAAATATTTTCAAGCAAGTACACCAGAATCATTTCTTTCTTAAAATCTATGACATTATCAGATTAATCACAATCTTGGCTTTAAAAATGCAATTTTCTACACATAGTCAATCAGAGGATTGAGGTTCATAGATATCAGGTAGGAATGATCCTGTTCTCAGTGCCTCCATCTTATCTTCCATATCAAATAAATCATTAGTAAGTCTTCGTATTGTATTTCTAAGTTCCTATATGTAATAATAAAAAAATAATATTAAAGCAAAATCATACAGAGAAATCTTTTTTAACAGAATAATTCAGAAATGTTCATAAAATGGTATATCACTGAAAAACACAGAGAACAGAAGCAATGCTTTCAGGATAAATATGGATTTAAGTTTCAATTTTCAATACAATGAATGCAAAACAGCAGGCTCTAGTAAAAAACAGCACACAGAGGCAGATTTTGATAGAAGAATATAAAATTCTAACTATGAATTGGAAGTTATTGTTATAAAGCAAGCATAAAAACAGATAAACGCATTAAAAAAATTACTTGAACTAAGAGCTGAGATTTAATAAGCTGCTGTGAGATATTGTGAATTTCTTTTGAAGCAGATTCATATGGCTGCGTAACTAATTCCACAATGTTTCTCCGAAGTGTTTGATTTTTTTCTCCTAAAATAATTACAGTATGTCAGTAATAACCATAATACAAGTATGATATGAAGTTTAAAACTTAAACACATGAAATCAATAAACATTTGAATTAATACCGAAAATACAGTTAATTTTTAATTCAGAGATTTTGGGGAAATCAATAATGCTACTAAGCCAAAATGCAATAATTTACAAAATATCACAAGAAACAAGCACAAGTAGTAAGAAAAATTAATATTTCTTCTTATCGACTCCTAATACATATTTATAGCTTCTGGCACGTATTAATATTTTTATAAACACGCATTTTACTCTATACTCTAACTACAAAAATAAATAAATATATTATTTCCAATCATGATATAGCAACAAAAAATAATAAACTATCCACAAACCTTTTCTATGCAACCTTGCCTAAATTCATTCCAGAAAATAGAGAAAATTTTGGAATCTTTTCACATTTCAGGAAAAGTTTTTTGTTTCATATCTGTACATAATACTGGACTCTAAGAACAAGAATTTATAAATATTGATTTTTATCACTTTTTTTTAACGCATTTCACTAAAGCTTCCAGCACATGCAAATACATGTGCAACAGAAAATTCGCCCATTGCCCATGTAACGTTTTTTATTCTAATTATCATGTCACAAAAAGTGAAAATACAAGAATGTCTAAGGTCTCGCCAGGAACACAGTACATGCCATTTATTAAACTTGCTCATTAAAAAACTCAGCAGCTAATTACATTCAAATTTATAAGAACCAAAACACATATGTACTAATGCATAAAAAAACTTCGATTTATTAAACTTAGACTGGCAAAAGACTGATACTGCAGTGTCAAAATATCTTACTGGTACCCATCAAAGCTTTTTGTAGTTCATTCATTTGATGTATTATGGACTGTGGCCTTATCATTCAGGAATATAGTGCTTCAATATAAAGAGGTTTGATTGAAATTTTCCTATTCCGGGGTCCTTAAAAACTGCGAAAAAAAGGGGACAGTTCTATATCTCCCGTTCATGTGGGCCAATTGACGAAATTCAACTTGTGTTTTTTATGTCTCAAAAGCATGAGGCATATGTTAGAAAAAAAGAATCACAGAAGTCTTCTGTTAACAAGCATTGTTGGTCCGAAAATCCCACCTTCAATGTTTTTGCAGCCAAAATTATTCAAAAAACATCTTCCATTGGTGAATTAAGATTTTCTAGAGGCACTTCACATTCAAAAAAATTTTTCTGTTCTAGTTAATGACAATAATTCCAATCCACTGCCTTCAGCCTTTTAAGAAATTATATTTTAGTTCTCATTTCATCAACAGATGGCGCCAATAGCTTAGCTCCTGTCCAGTCTTTCTTATCTTATCTAATCACTATATCTTATCTCGTTCATTTGCGCTTTTGCAGCTGAGGATGACGGTTCGGTAAAACCATCAGAACTAGTCCTGTGAAAATTTAAAAATATAACGCAGATTTTTGTTGTTTGACTTCTAAATTAAGGCTAGAATATACGAGTTTGCACAAATAATGGGTAGTCTGATAAAGGATTAAATTGTGGTATTAAAGATGATGTAGTGGGAGCAAGATTATTGCATGAAACAGAATTAACTTTAGAAAAGGCTCTTAATATAAGCAGATCTGCAAAAATAAGCACACATCAAATGAAAATAAGATATGGAAACTGTTGTAAACATAGTGACAAAGAAACTAAGCAAACATAATAAGAATATATACAAAGAGATAAATACTGAGAAACAACCAACCAAAGTTTGTTCTAAATGTGAAATATCTCATGAGTATCAGATATGTCCAGCGTATGGAAAAATCTGTCATAAGTGTAAAAGGCAAATCATTCTGTGAATCAATATAAAAGCTATAAAATATAATGATGAGAACATTTCGATTTCAGACACTTTGTAGAGACATTAGGTATTTTTTTGGGAAGCAGGAGACATGAAAAATGAGCAATGCCTTTGCCGTGAATCGAACCACGGACCTCTGGAATACACACCCAATGTGCAGGCCACCACACTATGAAGGCATGCTAAGAGGTGGGAGAAATACCTTATATACTCCCCCTTTTAAAGGGCGACTGGGGTTTCAAGGAACCCAATTGCCAAATCAGATGGTAAAGAATCATCATCTATCACACTTTTAGTTCGGGCACCACTGCAGAGACATTAAGTAATTTTTTGAAAGCAGGAGAAGTGAAAAATAAGCAATGCCTATGCCAGGAATCAAACCCGGACCTCTGGAATACGTGCCTAGTGTGCAGAACACCACACTACAAAGGTATGCTAAGAAGGTGGGAGAAATACCTTATAATTTTAATTTTCAAAATTGACCAAATATGTTTCGAGACTTGCCTCTCTCTAGAGGCATAAAAATGTAAAAAGCAAACAAATAAGTTCACCAGTTGACAATGAATTTATGGTTTTGTACATGGCCCATGGTGAACCAAGAGCTAGATGCGTTCTGCATATGGCAGTACTGTCAAACAACTCAAGGTCGGCATGTGACCTTGAAATCTCAAGTAGGATGACACGGCTAACAAATTTTATATATGGCAAAAGTTAAGAATTCACTTGAACATTGGCTGTTTTCATATTCAAAAATTCATTTCCTGTATTTTTTTAATACAGCACTTGCCTTTTTCCCAAATCTATGCGATGCAATCAGTTAAAAAAACTATCATTACAACTTGCTTGCCAGTTTTTTTACTCCATAATCATTAACCCTAATTTCTAATTAAAACTTGTGGAAAATTATTTTAGCTATAAATAGCATACAAAAATATTAATATTTAAATGAACATTTTTTCTTGTATTTTAAATCTATATTTCTATCCTTCATATAGAAACAATAAAAATACAGTACTGCATTAGACATGCAATATAATAACTTCACAAAGAAATTAAAAGTAACAGGATGCAATAATCATGGATTAAAGAAAAATTTCTCATATAAATGTGCACACAAATAAAATACTTACTAAGCTTCTTGTGCAGCAATCTGAAATTACACAAACAATCTTTCAGGCATCCAATTATAAATACATCTTGATAACTCACAAAACTATTAAAAAAATTCTTAAAAGTTCAAAGATTAAATACTGCAAATTATTTGTCAAATCTGCATTCCAAAAATTTGTTAAAAATTATTTCCTCAAAAATAAATACATAAACTGCAGAAACGACAAAAAATAAAATCTTTTCCTATTTCGAATATATATATTAAGGGAGATTAATGTATGGGATATAATATGAAAAATTTATTAATAAGATGCAAGAAAAATTAAAACTACAAAACTGAAAATCTACATACATTTACTCAGTGACATTTCATAATAACTCTGTATAATACAAATGCAATATTACTCATATGTACTCATATGTACACTAAAAGCATGCTGCTTTTACTGTACGTATGAGTAACTTTAAGCCGAAACACTGTAGAAATGAAGAAATAACTTAAATTTTAAAATATTCTAATTAATTATATATTATATAAATTCTTCAGAGAAAAAGCATATACAGTCATCCCTCAATTATCGCGGTTAACAGGGGCCAGAACTGGCTGCGAAAAGTGAAAAATCACAAAGTAGTTTCACCCTCTCATTTTTAATGCAGCTACATGTTTTGTGTATGTATAATATCAATAAGTGTACACGACACCATATAAGTGCATATGTTATTATTAGAACATTAAAGAATAGTTTCAGACATGTAAATAAAATATTAATAGTATAAATAACATACATTAAAATAATGCATAAATAATCTAAATATGATAGGTGTGTGTGTGTGCAACATGCGTAGATGTAACTAAAGTGTACATACTATAAATATGTTTTTAGAACTCTTTTATTCTAACAACTTTTCTTTTATAACAAGGTACATAACTCCCCTCTGACAATAGCTTCTCTTTGCTTGATCTTTATAAATGTCGATAGAAAAACTGTGCAGTACGATGGAGATGAAAAAGATGATGATTTACTGCACAAGTTAATGAGAACTTTATTGTTCCTCAGATGACACCTCATCGTCAGGTACTAGGGGCGCTGGATCATTGCGGGCAGTTTTGGATAGAGCTGGGGTAGCTGCAGGAGGCTGTGTAGAGGCAGCAGGAGGAGCTTCTGCAGAACGTTTTTGGTGCACAAGGAACATCGTGATGGGGAGTTGTGACTATTGTTTTTTCTTCTGAGCAAAAATGCCCTTGTACGTCATTACATCGTCAATACATTTACTGAATCCTACAGCTCTGACCATGTTGTAGTCAATTTCTTGGGCCCTTTGTTGCAGAATCTATGCTTTGCTGCACAGCTCTTACAGGTTTTCCAAGGTAAGGCCACGTTCTTCAGCTTCATTGTCGTCACCGTCATCAGCTACCTCCTCTTCTTTCTCACTCACCGATCTTGTCATTTTGACGAATTCCTCGTTAGTTCGAGGGTTAGAGTGGCATTTAATCAGTGTGTTCACTTCTTCCATCGTCATGTCAGAAAACCCTTCAGTGGCTACCAACCGAGCCAGCCTCACACAGCTTTCCGAGTCGGGAGGGATATCAAATGGTGAGATGCTAGTCAGCCAAACATAGATGTGGATTTTGAATTGTGTGGGCACTCCCTGCCTTCTGCTGGCGTGCGGGCAACTTTCGTGCCGTAATTCCTCAATTTTCAGTTTTTTCTGAATATTTTTGAACAATCCGTGATGTACTGAGACCGTGATAAATGAGCTGCGAAGTAGCGAGGGATGACTGTATATTTATGTAAGAACAGAAGCAACATAACTGTATTACAAATAAGGCTGGTGAACAAAATTTAGAGCAGATGAAAGCTTTAATGTGTTCGTAACAAAATATTTTATACTGAATTTACGTACGCAATGAGAATTTTTCTATCCTACACAGTTTCCATTTAACAATGTTGTCTTAAATTTTATTTTTCTGGAATATTACATTTTTCTGAATGATTACCAATAGCATTTTAAATGAATAAACACTATAGTTGCTCTACTAATAAGTTGCTTAAAATTTATGTGAACATTTTGTTGATTTTTTTCATGTATTTTGGTGCATTTCATTTAATAAATATTTTCACTGCGCATTTTTCAAGTGAATTTGCTTTTACATATTGTTGCTTTTTTTTTTTTTTTTTCCTAACACCAATTCTTTTGTTATTTTCTTCCTTCACGTTCGTATGGGGTTCGTGAGGATTTGGAGTGAATAATGACAATACTACTTGATGAAGTACCGAAACACACTTTATTGGCCAGTATTGTCAGAACAGCTCCAAAACACATTTTTACAGTCATCGATGAACTACTATAAACACACTGGCACAATCAGCGATACAGCCTTTAAGTTATCACGGTGGAGATAGCTTCACAGCAAAGCACTAGAGTACAGCTCCCGACTCTGCTTGGTCATTCTCGGAACTCCACGTACTCTCAAGACACTTCACACTACAACTCGCGATGCACTCGACGACACACAGGGCACAGCTCCCGACTCTTCGGTTCAGACGTTCCCAGAGCTCAACACGCTCCCTCGGCAATGTACTAACAACGATACAATACGAGACTTTTTCGATGCACTCAGCACTTGCTAGTCGGCTGTCAACTTGAACATCTCCATACGGACTAACTAGATGAGACACACTCTCACGCATTCTAGACGAGGCACTCACTAACTCGCCCTCTCGACAAGGCACACCCTCCCTGACTGCGAATCAGGAGGCTTTATATAGCTTTCGGCTTGTGTTCGAGAACATTCTGGGCTAAACCGGTAAGAATTCGTTCCAGAAGGTTCTCCATCCGTCCATGGTATACGCCAATTTCGTCACTAAATGGGCGATTTTTCACTAAGTGTGGCAACCCTGCCTTCCCTTGCCATTTTATGACAACCCTAAACCTGCTTTGCAGGGAAGCCATCTTACCGCGCCTGTACATTTCGTAACACTATTATATTTGTAAGTGTTTATTTTATGTATAGCTCTATAGCTCTTTTACTTCTGAATCAGTACAAGAAAATACAGAAAGAAATAATGGAAAAAAAAGACCTGAAAAGTGCTCTAGTTTATGCTATGAAAGTGGAAAGCACAGAACATCAGCAAAAAAGATTATTGGTCAGTAAAAGAGGTATCAACGGTGCAGAAGATCTTGCACTGAAAGCAGTGACCGAGCTAATGAAAAAAACTGGAGAATAGGGACACATTTGAAGTGCAGATGAGTAATAACAATATCATAAAATGCTGAAAATACAATAGCTAAGACCTTTTAAAAGACTATCTTTTGCAAAAAGTACAGAGGAGTAAAAATCATTTAAAAGAACATGAATTAGTGAAGTAGAAAATTCTCGTCAATGTTCAACAGATATCTTTATTTCATAGCGGTGATCAAAGACTGTATTTGGGGGGGGGGAAGAAACAAACAACTTCCCATATAGCATAATAATAGACCCTGGAGTTGTCAAAAACCTTTCCACATGGGTGTCTCTTTGACTATAAAAAGAGAGAGAATAAATGTATTTCGGTTAGTGTATATGTTTTATATATATGACCACAAAGTTTTATGTTGCTCATATAACAGAACCACATAATACTGAAATTGATTTTTGTTCAAGATATTTACAGGATAGCTCTGCATTATTTTATATTAACTACAGACATTTAAATGACATTATAAAGAAATACACCTCAACTGATGACACCTCAAACACACTAACAGGAAATAAATCATTTTTAACTCTGGATTTGAAAAGCAGCAACTACCAAGTGGAATATAAGAAAAATAGTGAAATGATGGTATTTACTACGAGTGAAGGACTCCAACATCCGAATGTCCATAAGAAACAGTTCTGAAAGGACAGTCATATGAAGCCTGCTTTGTGTATCTCAATAACATTATAATAGACAGATGCATATCTGAGAAACATCCAAGAAATATTAGGAAGTCTGGACAAACTCGGAGAAGATAATTTAAATTTAAGCCTTTTGAATTGTAAATTACTTCACGGGTGAGTTAGCTATTTTGGTCATATGATTTGAGCAGAATGTGTACATGCAAATCCTGAGAAAATCAAGGCTGTTTGTGACTGGTGTCATTTTCAAGATGCTCATCACTTAAGAAGCTTACTTAAATAACACACTTATTACCAAAAAAGGGGGGGTTGTATGATTGCAAGACTTTTACATCACTTAATAGAAGCAAAACAAAGTTCTAAATGAACTGATGAATACAAAAATGCATTTAAAGCCTTGAAGGAAGCCTTGATAATCTGCCTGTGGGCTAACTTATCAACAACAATATGTGTTTATTCTAGATATGTATGACAACAATGAAAAAGAACTGTTTTTCCACAAGAAGCTGACACTAATAGCACGTTTTTGTCTTTTATTAAAAGCTTCTTGAAATGGAAAGAAATTACTGCATCACTGTAAAAGAGTTATTAGCTATCATAAAGTCAGTAAAACATTTCCATTATTATCTGTTGACTAACCATGAACCAATAAGTTAATGTCAAATAGCTGGATAAATTCAATGACTACAGAAATATAACATGAAAATTCAATATTGAAATGGATCTTCATATATAAATGTTGGTGCACCTTCAGTGTGGATTCAATATGAAAAAGTATAAGAACCACTCAAAAGTAAAGGGGAAATATGGCTTTGAAATCCCAGAGATTAAATATGCTAATGCAGACTCTATAACATGAGATTAATTCTTGGAACAATAAAAAAACTAAGAAAGGCCCTGAAGGAGATCATCTTTTCTCAATATCCAATAGCTCTGTCTTCAACAACTAAATCCATCAAACTTTTATTTTTACCTTTACAACGCTTTAACACAATTCATTTGATTTTTCATCCTGCTAATTTTTTGCTGTGTTCCCTTATTACACATATTTTCAAATGCATCACATATATATAGGAGAAAATCTTGATACCATGATTTACTTAAATTGGACAAGACAAACCATTTGCACCCATTCTAAATAAAACAACAAAAAAAGTGACAGTTCATATTCAAGAGCTATCTTACCTTCAAGAACCTCAGGAGTGGTTCAGGTCAAAATAATTAGTTTTTATGCTATGTGTTTTGCAAAATACTGAGCTACTCAGAGCCTATTTTGTGTATTTTTACCCTGCTAATAGTTAGCGTAGTTAGTTATTTTTCCTAATCAGGCATTTTTATAACCCTGAATAACATAGAATAGCACCACAATTTCTTATAACTCAAGAACATTGAAAGGCAAATTCTAAGGTTTGGTTTGATTTAGTTTACTATGGTAAAACACCCTATCGCTATCTGCCTACTGGGAGGAATGCCTTTGTGGAGGGCTTTCTAAGGGAAACTAGCTCGTATACACGTTACACATGGCAACCACAAAAATGGCCATGAAGGCAGCTCATTCACCTGGAATCGAACCCAGGTCAGAACTACCAGTGTTCAATAACTTTACCGCTCGGTCGCTGGTAGGCCCATATTCTAAGGACTTTTTAGCTCAAAGGAGCATTTGCCCAGATCTATCAGTCATGAAATGGCATTTTGCATTGAATCACTTAAATGTGATGTATCACTTTGTAAGGTTTATCCAATTTTTAGTTACTTTCCTGTCCTTTCTAAATTTCAGCTTACAATTTCCTGACAGAACGTGTTTTCAGAATCACAGTTAAATGAAGGCAAATGAAGGAAGTGCAAGTATTTAAAGTTGAAGTTCTACTGACTTCGTTAGAGAGTCAGAGATTCTAAGCAACACCAATCACTTTTTGGCTATACTCTCTCTTAAGCTATTTCTACACTCAGCCGTATTTCAGGCCCTTGAAAGCTTCACTGTTTAATTAGTGTTAAGGGGGCCAACTCTTGTAGAATCTTGATAGCTTCTATGTCTCTTTAGTTAAGTTTTATTCTTACTATTTCTGAGTTCAAGCCCAAGTGGAGGCTTTGCTATAAACTCCAAGAAGGAGTCAACTGTTAAATTTATTTTGAATAATTTGAGAGTAATTAACCTTTCATATATTTACGTTTCTATCTTTCTGAACTAAACAAATATTCGCTTACCTGTTCTTAAGGTTCGACACATTTAGCTGTAAGTTATAGGTTGGAACAATATAACTTTTTAAATTGTTGTAACCAAATATTATTGCCTTGTATCATATTTAAAAATATTAAATAATGAAGAATCTGTATGAATGCATGTATTTTGTTTGCACTGGGACAAAACAACGGTACCTACAGTCATAACATTTTGAATAACTTAGTCCTCCACCCGATCAAGGCCATATTTGGAATTTCGAATTTTTAGTCTATTTTATATTTTGTAAACCTTTAATGAATTTTTGATTAAAATACTCAATAATTTTAAAGTAAGCAGTGGCAACACTGTAGCAAATAAAAAAATTTTATCTCCAGCACACGAGACAGTCTATCAGAAATTCTGAAGATATACTGTTTTTAAATATTTTTAGCGAAAAGTGGTGTTAGCCCAAATGCTCTCGAAATGTGTACATGTCTTTAAATGAAAAAAAAAACAACCATTTGGGCATAATATAAAACTTGAAAACTCTCAGATTTTTCTTTTTATTTACTACTATAAATTTTTTTATTGGGTATATATATATATATATATAATATATATATGTAAGAAAAGTAAAGAATATGTAAAAGATTAAATTAGCAGCATAAATTAATTTCCTTTCTCTATTCGAAAAATGGTAACCTCTTTCTGAACTGGGTCATTTCTAGATTAATCCATGCCATAAGACTCTTGCATAATTCTGATGATGTAAATGGACCTAAAACTCAAGCAGCCAATAATAATTTTACAGAAATATTAACTATCCAATCAAAATGCATTAATCCATGTCATATGACTCTTGCATAATTCTGATGACGTAAATGGACCTAAAACTCAAGCAGCCAATAATAATTTTACAGAAATATTAACTATCCAATCAAAATGCATTGAGGACCAAAACTAACTCAGTCTGAATTAATATTTCACCCTGAACATAACACACTTGCTTTCTACACTTTGGCCTAGCTGGACTGCAGTCTGTCTGCTCCTTCTATCTTACTGTAAATTAATCTAAAATGTAAGTTTTCTGGAATAGGCACATTTAATGTGTCATCTTGTTTGTGGCCGCAACATGTTGCTGAAATAAAAAATGAAGATTTCATCTGCCTTCGCCTCCAATTTCCTATTCATTATGAATCAACACTTCTATGCTATCAAAATTCTACTCATCACTACTTCTAAGTTTGTTTTTATCACACACACACATATATATATACATTTTAATTTAGTTCCAAAATTTACAGATCAAAGAAAACATGTCACTTTAAAAGAGTATAGACATAGAAAAAAAAAAAAAATAATAATGCACAAACATCAAAATGATAAAGCTTTAATATCTGTGGCTCATTATACCAATAACAGTGATAGACAGCATTTGCATCCTTGCATATAGTAATTGTTAGGAATGAATGTCTTATGACTTAGATCAGAAGACCAAAAAAAAAAAAAAAATGATCTTAAGTTTTCCTACAGAATATTCTTTGGTAAGCTTTAGTTTACTTTCATCTCTACTATCAATACTTAAACTGCTAAATACTAACTTGAAGCCACACAATTCACCATATTTTACTCTGTCTGAAAAACCATTTCCTGGAAAGGATTGCACATAAAATTCCACACTTATGATGTAAATTATTTAAATAATTATTTGTTTTTTTAAACATGCCATCACATAACACAACTCAACATACCAACAAATGCAAAAGGCAACATGCAGCTTTTCCTAGAAATGCACTTCCCGGAACTAGTTTGAATGGTAGAAATCATACACTTTTTTTACAATACTAGCAAATACAGCATCAAAAAGAACTTGATGCTATATTTGTTATAGGTCAACCAACCAGAAAGGGAGAAAAAGTTCACCTAACTGTAAAATCCCTGAATGCAAAAGTTCCCTAAAATATACATATTCAGCAAAGTACTGAAGGAATTTGTTATACAGTCTGACAGTAGTTTAAGCAGCTTCACAATTATACAACAGCAGCAAACAGGATGTCTTGATGAGAACTTTTATGATCTACCTCAAGTTACAATCAATACAGCAGCTTTTATGCATTATTTTTTTACTGAAACTAGATATAAATTTTCTCATGGCATAGTTACCAAAGACACCTTGTCAATTTTTAGCTGTGAAATCACTACAATATTATTATTACTGGAGTCACCAGTCAATAACTAACAATCAGGAACTAGACACTTATGTTCCAAAAGAAAACAACTGTAAATCTATGTAAATAAAATAAGTGAATTACTTCTTCAAAATGTTTTATACAGTCACAATGCTTCAAATAAAAACATAAAACTTCAAGAAGTTTAGTCAAAAATAAATAAATCATATATTGATTCAAATGGCAATTTAAATTTTATTCAAAACAGAGAGAGCTAAATTACATATCATAAGGGTTTTGGTCAATGCTCCATTGGCATTTATTAAAATCAGAGCTACCCAGTCTCACAAAGTTTAAAATCAGACAGTTTAAATGCTGCTACAGTAAAAACAAGTTTTAAAATCCTCTATTAAATAACACTGATATGTAGTGGCAGCACAAATCAGAGAAAACGAGGGGGGAGCTTGTTTGAGCATCACTTAGTAACTACCAATCGAAATTTCAGCTAATTTGAGTACAAATATTTTGTTTGACAGTAATTTTTGTGAGTTAATGTGACCGCTTTTGCGAAAATGAAAAAAAAATCAAGTATCGTGCTGTCATTAGATACTTATTTTTGAAAGGTAATACACCTACTCATATTAGACAAGTTGAACACAGTGTATGGTGATGCGCACCATCACTACTACTGTGATATTTGGGGCAGATGAATTTAAATGTGTCAGTATGAGCTTGGGTGACGATGAACGTTCAGGATGGCCAAAAACTGCAACCACCAAAAAAAACATCGCTAAAATCCACCAAATGGTGCTGGACGACTGTCGAATCAAGCTTAGAGAGACAGCAGATGCTTTTAGCAAGTCCTAAGAATGTCTTTGCCACATACTGAACCAAGATTTAGATACGTGCAAGTTGGCTGCACGTTGTGTGCTGTGTTTGCTCATTTTGGACGAAACACATGTCCGAATGAACATTTGCACCGCTCTGTTGGTACAATTCAGGCAGAACAAATCAGAGTTTTTCAATGATTATTCACTGTACACGAAACCTGGATTCGTCATTACAAGCCCAGAAACAAAAATGCAGTCAAAACAGTGGACCACAAAGGGAGAATTGACTCCAAAACTATTCCTTCTGCTGGAAAAGTGATGGTGACAGTTATCCGGGATAGCCATAGAATTGTCTTAATAGTGTATCTTGAGAAAGGAAAAAGCATTACCGGAGCATACAATGCAACATTACTTGACAAGCTGAAGGCAGAAATTGTGAAAAAAACGGCTACATTCGCAAAAATTGATTCTCCATCTCATATCTCAGTCATTGCATTTGAGAAAATCTAACCTTCATGGTTTGAACTGCTTAATCACCAGCTCTACTCGCCTGACCTGGCACCAAGTGACTTTGTTTTGTTCCCTAAGCTAAAAGAAGCACTTGGAGGACAAAGATTTTTGTCAAATGAGAAGATGATGAACTTTTTTAATAACTACTTTGCAGAGAATGATTCCACATATTATTTGGATTGGTTAAAAGGATGGAAGCATCGCTGGAAGAAATGCATAGACTAACAAGGAGACTACATTGAAAACTAAAGATAATTTTGGATAAAAATTATCTTTTTTCTTTGTTAGGTCGGAAACTTTTTAGACAACCTATATAGCTATGAAATGCAATAAGATAAGGTATGTATATAATAATGACTATCCATAACCTGCTCAGCCATAGGCACTACAGGTGTATGTCTGTATACGTACATAATATATGCCAAAATCATAAAAACATAGGCCTTGATATTATAAATTTAATCAAAGAAACTAAACATACATACGTGTTATACAATGCTGCAGAACCTTCTCTAGATGCATCTTTTTCTACTGGTTCTGCAGAACTTCTGTCCCAAGAATCATTGATAGAAAAGTCACTACCTACATACACAAGCATTCCAGATTATATTCCTAAAATTAACATAATTACAAAATTATGTAATGTTATTAAATAGCATACCTGACTGAGGTAAAGTGTGATGAGTATCAATTTCTTCATCAGATTCTGATGCTTCACCAGATATTACTATTCCATGAGGAATCCTTGATGCAGTCTAAATTAAACAATGCTATATATCAGGACATTTTACTGACAGAAACTTACATCTACACTTTTGGCAATCACATCAATTTTGTACTAATAATGAGATAAATCTTGTTCCTTAAACAAGCAGTAATTTTACACAATATGGAAACAGTGCTCTTTAGAATATTCTTCCATGACTCATGATCATCAACTTATCCACCGGATCACTTTGTGACATTGTCTTCTACTTTTTCTGAGAGAAAAGAAATACCATACAGTTCAGAGTGCTTTATAGCTTTGTGTAAACCTATCACAATTACAACAAATCTTATCACAAGAAAAAAAACTTAGGCACAATCAAGAAGAGAAGCAATACATATTTTCAGTTTTATTACCTGTTGTAAGAAGTGATGTTTAACAATACATATATAACAATGAAAATTGTTAAATTAGGCACCATAATGAAGCAAGGTGACATTAAGCTGGTTAAAGAATACTATATAAAACATTCCCTCAATTTTGTAACATCCCACATATTTCAGTCATCAACTAGGTGTGTGCACATATATGAAAAGTTTTAGCATTCAGCTATCATACTAGATGAAATCTAAAGTGTGTAAATGAAGTTGAAGAGAAGCAGCAACATCCTGTTTGAAAGAAAGCATGCAAAAGCTCTCCCACAATCCCACAACTCTGTGAGACACTTCATTATGTGAAATTTACCAACTGTACAAAATAGCCTAATTGCAACAAGTAGTCATTTGCAGTCAGATATTTTGTGGTCAGAATATTTTATTTTTTTACTCTCACCACTAAGAGAACTAAGCAACACTAATATACCAAATTCAAATTTATTAAATACAGTCAGAAACCATTATGAAAACTGAACAAACTTTTGGCATTCATTATGAAATTTTGTTTTATTAAAAAATGTTATAAAATTATATATTCTTCAACATTAATGTTTCAAACATATGCAAAATACATACATCACTGGCCCCCCCCAAAAAATGCTTACCCTTCAAAATGCCCTTTTGCAAACTGTGCCCTTCTTAAATGTGCAGTTTTAAATTTAAAATATATGTATACAGTTCATCATTTTCCTTTTAATTTTATTATCATTCTCTGCATTTAAAATTTAAAAAACTAATATTTACTTTGCTTCATCCTCTAGCAGTTTTACTTGTCTGCAGAAAATGCATGCACTGTCTAGCGTGGCTTGTAAGAATGAGTTTCGTCTAATGTTACAATATCAAAGCTGCTAACCTCAAAGCATGAAAAACTGGGAGTTTCCAAGAGATTTTTCCTTACTGCCACTTCAAAAGAACTCCACTTTATAATGCATGATTCTGGTTTTATATTATTTATTGTGCAATTCCAATGTAAAATATTGGGCAGTCAAAAAAATATTGAGCCATTTGTTCATGAGATAATGTTAGAATCTGAAATTTCATGATGTATGCGTCATAGCAGGTCACATCACATATCATTTGACAACTGTCATTTGAAACTAGCAGATGTGCAAAAAATGTTGGAATGCTTACACTCAAGTAAGGCACTGCCAAGTGAAGATGAGTGAACTTTTCACAAAACTGCACTAAATGTTACAGTTTTATTTAACTAAAGGCACAAATGCTGTTCACGCTGATTGAAAAATGTATGCCATTTCTGAGCAAGACAGGTTATCAAAAGCAACAGACAAACAATTTTTTGCTTTTGTTGCTCCTCGGATGCTAATCGCTCCAACATAATTCTTGCTGCTGCCAGGCAAAACAATAGACTCATACCTGTACTATCAACAATTAGAGCTGTTACCAAAAGTAAAGAAAGTGGTAAAGAGGTCGCTAAGAATGAAGATTTCAACTGTTTATTTAATGGAAATTCTCAACACTGCAATTAAAGGAATTGAGCAATGAAACTAAGTTATGAACAAGAAATTTATGTCTCTATAAAGTTAACAGGAAAGTATTAACACGTGCACACACATATACCCCCCCCCAAAAAAAAAGAATTTCTTAAACGAGTTATATTAAAAGAAGTGTTTAATTTTAAAAATAAGATTAACATTAAGCTTTTTATTTATTTTCATTATGCTTTCACAAAAGTTTCCCACCACTGCAAATGTGGTCTGCGCAAACAGTTTGTATTGGCATCTTTAATCATAATTTGTAAAACAATTTTTGACATTTGAAAGAAGCAGACTTGCTTTAGAACACAGTATTCTGAAATTTGAGGACTACTGACATTCAAGAAGCAGAGCCTACTGATGATGATGATGAGGCCTGCCTGCGAGAACTTGTGAAAAAAGATCAGTATATAACCACTTGAGAGTTTGATAAGGAGTTAGACGTAAGTGCCATGTCCATTAGTCGTGCTATGCATTGCATAAATTTGACATACAAGTTCAATCACTGGGTGCCGCATGAGTTGACTCAAGCAGATAAGGACAGATGTGCTCAGGCCTGCACTAATCAGCTTGAATATCAATGCAAGGACAAAATTCTGGACCAGATCATCACTTGTAATGAAAAGTGGATAACTTCAACAACAAAGACAAAAAGGGGGTTGGTCAACAACACTCAGCTAACCCATCAGAAGTGTCACCAAGCGCAATTTGACTAGCAAAACGATCATGCTTTGTATCTGGAAGGACTGTCATGGTATTAACCACAAAGAGTATCTGGGAAAAGGTAAATCCTGGACAGTAAAATGAACAGTGAGATGCTAGTCCATGTTGGCGCTGCTATCAAGGAAAAATGTCAAACTGAATTCTGGGGCAAAAAAGTAATGTTCCATCAAGATAATGCAAGATCATATGTGTCTGCATTCACCAGATGGATTCTATATGCACACGAATGAGATCTTTTGCCACACTCACCATATAGCACCGACGTCGCTCCTTCGGATTTCTACCTTTTTTTTTTTTCACTGATGCAGCTACGTTTTGCTGGTGCTATCTTCCCTTCTCACAGGGCGTCCAAAATGAGGTTGATCTGTTTTTGGTAGAAGGATTAGAAAAACTACCAAAACGGCAGAAAATCATAGATTTGGGTGCTGATTACTATCTGCACTAAAGGTACTGCTTTCACGTTTTTCTCTAACTTTATTAAGAACGTATTTTGGCAGAAAACTTCTGCTACAGCCAGAATTTTTTCCCCCTGTAAATTTTGATTTTATTAAGATCATAAATGAATCATTTTCACAATCATTTCATATATTTAATTTTAAAATTTCTATATCAGCTTACAAGATTTAAATAAATGATTTAAAATCGATAAATTGTCCAAAACCTTGCAATGCCAAAGTTCTGAGAATTCTGAATCTCAGTTCTGCAGTTAAGAAAATATATTTTTACAAGTATGTCGCTATACATATACCCATGCACTACACTATCTATGTGGGGGGGGGAATCATAAAGCAGCCTTTTTCTCCCGAACCCCCAAGTAGCCAAAATAATAAAAGGGGTAAAATAAGGATATCTGGATTGCAGTCCAGCTTTCTGCTTAGGATCTTCAATGTTCTGTATCGAGGTTTGCCATTGGAGATCAATTGTTTATAAGATTTTCCTTCTGTTATGGCTAAGTGCTGGTGGATAAATGAATAAAAAGACTGGAAATCTGATGCACTGGAATACAGATAGCTTTACAGTAAACATACAGAAAGAAATTCTGTTAATAATATACTGATTTACTCAGATGACAGATCTGAATTATTCAATAATTTATAAAAGAAAAAATATAAATATGAGACTTAGTTATAGCATGCAGTCAAAGGAAATAGCAATGATAATGCTACAAATCCCACCTCTCCAAGTAGACAATGAATGGGCAATTATTTTCAAATATACCCTTCATTATACTAAATGCTAAAGGAAACAGGTCTGTGGTTTTCCACAGTAAGGAACATTCACAAGCAATGCAGTAGTATGTAGCATGAGTTTGTCTTTAGCAAGATGACAGGTGTGTTTCTCAGGGTTCATTGCCACATTTTAGTTAAAAAAATAAGCACCTATAAGCACTTTTCAAGCACATTTTAAGAAAAAAAAATAAGCACCTGTCTAATTACATTATACACAACTGCATAACCTTAAAAATTAAGACTCGTAATTTAAAATATGAGAAATGCAGTATTTATTAAGAGAGAATAAGCATTACCTCAACCACGGAAAATAATTACTTTTTTTTTAAATTTTAAATAACAGTTAAATTTACAGAACTAGTTTACAATGAGAGAAAAAAAACTACGCAGAACTAAACTATATTACACGATTTAATGATGAAATTTCAGTTCAAAATAGAGGAAATAAATAATAATAAGGCATATTTATTCTATTCGCTTGGAACTTAATAATAAATACAATTTATTTTCCCACTCATATTGATATTTAACTAATTTAAATCTAAATTCTGAACATTTTCTAAATTTTCATCGTATATCAGTTTTTCTTTAACAGATATTGCAAGCAAAGTAATTTAGGTAAAAAAGAGGAACATTTCTGAAATCAGAAGACAGAAATCTGCTTCATGCTGTCATCCTTTAACAGTAAAAGCTTAACTACCCGCCATACTTGAAAACTGGCGAATATTCGGACAGTCCAGCGTAACTTGAAAAAGAGGAGCGGAGGGAGGATAGACTGTAGCCGTTCTTTAGATTTTTCCGCTAAATAAATGCTTTTGACAGTTCGATATGTGCATCATATAAAACCAAACCAACGGAACAGAAAAATATTCTGTTTTCCAAGCACAGTAAAACTCTCTTAAGTGTTCATAAACAAATCTCGGACCGAACATCAAAATTAATTATTTCTGCAAAATATCGCAAACGTTATTGCGCAATACGTGCGCCGTAATTCTTCCCTACATGATATTACGCAATCGGATTCAACAGCTGCCGGTATTGGGAGAATAGAGAACTAAATAAAGGAAAAGAAAGAGACTTACCAATCTGGGGTGTTTTTCTTTCTAATTTTCAACAGACTGAGTCAAATTTCTGGAATAGAATCATTCTTCACTTTGGTTAATAGACCGC